GTCTCTTCGCTTGCAGAATTCTTATATTTTCTTCTACCCTGAAGATGGAGGCGATACGTTCCTCCGAAACGTCGGTTAACACCACTTATACATGGTGCCAAATCCCAAAAGACTGCTTTCTTCCATATTTTCATAGTGGTATTTCCTCCACCCTGGAAGAAACTCAAATTACCCACACAAGGAACTGGAAAAAACATGGAGACAAGATGGATGATGCTGTCATGGAACTGGTGGCACCTGTTACACAATCAAGACATTTCTCAGCGCATTGAAGAAGGTGACAGGCTGGCAGGTAATAAAAAACTTTATTTTAAATACACCATCTGAACAAAGTGTTCCCTCTCTGTTAAGAAGCATCGCACACTACGGGTTAAGTCTATGTGCAAGTGTTAGAGTTGCATATGTACATACATTATATAAACTATATCATTCAAATGTAACATATATAAAATAACCAAGTTAATTATTTATGTCTGAATGGCAAGAACATTGCAATGGTAATATGCTACCCTCAGAGCTCTGAGGAATTTACCATCTCTTTATACACACATCAATTTAAATTCTCTTTGTACAAATTAATTACATCATTGTTCACTTCCTGTCTGAAAATGCCATAACAATATCAGCGTCATTATTAATTATAAAACGTAGCAGTCTAAATGCGTTAACCAAGCCTTTCTCCCATACAGTGTTTAAATGGCACTCAACGATACTATAAAATGAGCGGGGAACCGTCTTCTTGAACTAAGTACACCCAGCTGGAAGTGACCACTCTGTACAACCTATCACAGTACACCATGCCACAGGGATGACACCCTGTAATCCAGCCAGTCAGCTAATACTTGTGAATGTGTTCTAGCCTCTTGAGTCACAGCAACTTAGCACCAGGAACTACAGGCCATGGGTCTAAAAGTCAGCATCCCAGCCTGTAAGGTCATCCAATGGAGGCCCCTCACTGTCAGGAGGATACTCATCAAAGTTGCTTGTGTCAGTCACGTTGCGCACCTTTGGGGTGATTGGAGGAATCAGCGTGTGGTTGATGAGGCCTTCCCAGTTGAAACCATCAAACCACCTAGAAACAGTTGCTCATCTAATTTCCCTTAAGGAAACATCATGTAGACAGAAATGGACTGAACAGAACACAGTGTGGAATGACAAAGGACTGAAGGTTTTGGTCATATTATGCAAAATGTGATGTCTGAGAAAAGATGCTGATGAGAATCTCCAGGCCTGTGAGGGCAGAAGCAATAAAGACCAGAAAATTGCTTTATGAGGAGTTTCATACTTCGTTCTCTGTATCAAATGTTAGCAGGATTAATGCAATGAGGTTGAGATCAGTGTGGCATACAGCACACAGGGGAGAAAATAAATATGCACAAAGAAGTTTTGGTTGGGAAACCTGAAGGAAAATAACCATTTTGAAGATCTAGGCACAGATGGGATGGTAATATTAAATTGGGTCTTAGGAAAATAGACTAGGATGGTGTTCACTAATTCATTTGGCCAAGGATAGAGACCAAGTAGATGAGCAATCATAAGCTTCTTTAGAAAGACTCTTCTTTTCAGAATTTGCTATATACAATTGAAAAACAAGGGCAGCTAAAGAGGTGGAGATGGCTGCTGGGAGACAGACAGTGAGGTGGAACGGGAACAGAACATGACGACGAGGGACATACCCATGAGGAAGACACAAGAGGGTACAGGGTACAAAGCAGAACCAGAAAGCTGAAAAACAAGTGGATGATGCATTGCCTCTGTTTATAAATGAGATTCTGGCTTCGTTCTTAACTTTTCTGGGTTTCTTACATGGTCATTAATCAGTATAACTAAACTGGAACCTGTGTATTGGTATTGCTATTTTGATACTCTGATTTCACGTTCAAGCAGTGACTGTGCAGTCATTACACTGATCTTTAGTTGTCTCTCCTGACCAACAAAAACTTGTGCTACAACTAAAATAAAAATGAGCAGGCCGGTTTAAGCAGGAACACTTCTGACATGTGCTCTGGAGACCTCTGATTTGAACTGTGGCTAGGACACTGACTATCCTGAGTTTATTGTGTTCTTCCCCACTGCCTCCAGGCAAATGATGGGACAGTACCTCAAATTAGATTATGATCAGTTCTTCCCAGAGTTTTCCCAATTCTTTCTTCGCTAACCATCTTATCATTCAATGACAAGTAATCTCAGTAACTGACAGCATTGCTGACAAACAACAGGTAATGAATGAGACAAAAAATATATAAATAAATAAAATAAACTGCTAAAATCCTAGTAACAAAATTTCAATGTTCAATACAAACAATAAAAGCTGTATTCCATTTTGTGGTCTTCTGGGTTATAACACCATACAGTACGGTAGGTGGGTACAAATATTTTGGAGGAATATGCCATCTGTCTTCACTTGTTCTCCAATAATGTTCCTCTGAACAATCATAGCACTGTACCACACTACATAGCGTCATATCCCCGAGACCAGTGCACTTCCCCTACATGTTTGCCTGTCCTGTTGTATCATGAATGGGAGAGATGAGAAATGCACATAGAACTGTAATCAGAAAATCTGAAGGGATGACATCATTTGGAAGACCTGGGAACAGATGGGGTGCTCAATGGAATTAGCTGATTAAGCTCTCCCACAACAGAATGATTTCACCAGACTTACTTGTGCTTCTGAATCTCGCTGATGCCTCCTTTCTGATAGCCAAGCCTCTCTGTTGGGTTGTCCCTGAAAGTGCAATGTCACATGATCAATTCCAAAACCAGAAAACCAGCAGAAGTGTACTTCGTGATTGGCTCCACAGTCACACTTACCGACACAGCTTCTTGATCAACGCCATGGCATTCCTCGTGATGTTGCGAGGGAACTCAATGGCGTCAATGCCTTTCAGAATTATATTGTATGTCTTCATGGGGTCAGACCCAGTAAATGGTGGTGTACCTGTGGACAAACAAACTTGCTTATGTCTCTCACTGTGCAACAGGTAACATAAATTGGAACTTGCAAGTGCCTTCAAGATTTCCCAAGGTCATGCAATGGATGTATGCTCACAATAACAATAGTAATATTATCTAATATACAGTGGAATCTCGCTTAACGAGCACCTCTCATAACGAGTAATTCGCATAACGAGCAAAACAAATTGTAAAAAAATGACTCACTTAACAAGTGACATTTTGCATAACGAGTGACGAGAGGGGAAGTCCTGGATTGTGCGCTTGCTACATCAGTCTGTGTTTAGCACTCCTTCCGCTAGTATCTTAGTGTCGCTTGTGATCACACATTTTCCCAAACTTGTGTTCAAACATATTATTTGTAATTTTTTTTGTGCAAAGTTTAATAACCCTTGCAAAAATGTCCCCAAAGAAAAAGCTGCATAAAGACAGCCATAAGAGAATAAAAATAACCATAGATATGAAACGTAAAATCATTGAAAAGCAAGAACAAGGTGTGAGCGTGGCTGATCTAGCACGCACATACAATCGGTCTACATCAACGATTTGCACTGCGTTGTCAAATGTGACTTTGAGGGGTTTGAGATAGTACCTGTGGAGCTTGTAGTCAACGAGATTGTGTCTTTGGCCAAGATTATGGAGCTGGAGGTGCATAACAATGATATCGATGAGCTTGTGGAAGAGCACAGCCAAGAGCTGACCACCGAACAGCTTATGGAGTTCCATTGTGTTTCACAGCAAGAAGTTGTGGAGGAGTTTGTCAGAGGAGGAGGAGGAAGGGGAGGAGGGGGAGGGGGAGGAGGAGGAGGTAACAGCAAAGCAACAATCTTCTGGCGCAATAAGAGAAATGCTGAAAGCATGGGAAACTGTTGCATCGTACACTGAGAAGCATCACCCTAATAAGACAGTGGCTATGCTCGCTTCAAATTTATTTAATGATAATGCTGTGTCGCATTTTCACCAAATTTTGAAGTGTGAGCAAAAACAAATGTCTCTAGACAGCTTTCTAGTAAAAAAGAATTAGATATGTATCATAAATAATAAACTAATTATTTCAATTTTTTTTTTTTTTGTTTTCTGCAAATCGAATTCGCATTCCAGGTTGGTTCATTCCGCATAGAAGAAAAGATGATGATGATTCATGCTCCTTAACAATGTATATATAATTTTCTTTGAATAAACGTTATTCATAAAAATTTTTGAGTATTTTTTTGGCATGGAATGCATTATCGTATTTTACATTAATTTATATGGGAAAATTTGTTTCCCTTAACGAGTGTTTCGCATTACGAGTAAGATTCTGGAACAAATTATGCTCATTAAGCGAGGTTCCACTGTATATAAAAAGTAACTTTCCTGTTTCCTGTTTTTCACCGTGGCATTACATGTCAGAGAACACCCAAAGATGCCACAAAATTTGCCTTGTACTCTTGCAAATATGTATGGTGGCTCAACACAGCAGAAATTAAACTTGCCTTGAAGAGTACTGCCTTCTGGGATGAGACACTGTGTAGTCCTGCAAAAGTTCACTTGTATTTCGGAGGCATATACTGTGTCCACCTTCACGGTCACACAGTAAGCCAATGAAGCAACCCCCAAAGATGTCTACTGTCATATCCCAGAAGATGGTACTCTTCACAGACATCACTGTGAGCATCTCAAATCATATTCAACAAAATTTACCCTGATTACAACAGATGCTAGAAATATCTGTGTTCATGTTGGAATATATGAGTCTAACACCAGCTTGGCTGTTACTCTGGAGGAGGGAAAATGGTGAAGAGAAATTGGATGAAATAGCAGCTAGGCCTGCTCTTTCTCCTTGAATATCCTATAGACACCTTTCACAGATGACTAGGATTTCCAGTTCAACTTATTTCTGAGGTCAGGGCACCCATAAAGCAGACTCGTTACCCCCCAGAAATTGGGTTATGATAAGAATGACAGTCAGTAGAGGGGAACTATAGCTTAAGGTGAACTCTACACTATTGGTGGGGGGTTCCACTCTGTGAGCAGAAAGACTGTAAAGTACACTTTAATTTACCATATTTACCAAATATAAGATGCGCTTCTGTCCTCCAAAAACTGACTGTACTATATAATTACGCATATTCACTTTTGAATTACTGGGTTTTTGGACTCTGTCCATCGTCCAGCATTCTGAAAACTAGAAAACATGCTTTGGAAACTGGACCTGTTCCTGTTCTCTGGTGAAAGGGTGAGATACCTGCTCTGTTTGGTTCCTTAAAAGGAGCTAACCCAGAAATTCTGGGTGTTATACATCATCGTAAGAACCCTTTAGAATCTACTCATATTCACTTCTGCTAGGTATGCCACTAGCAGCAGTAAAATACCTAACCTCTTACCCCTTGTGGTCTCTGATACCAAATCAAATGACAGAGGGGGACAGCCAGAGTTCAAGGCTATTTCTGTGACAGGACATCCATGTGACGCACAAGAGCAGTGTGATTTCAATCAATCAAGCGTGAAGCCAAGACTTGCCTGTCAGCAGCTCGAACATGAGCACCCCAAGCGACCAGTAGTCTGCACTGATATCATGACCTCGGTTCAAGATCACTTCAGGAGCCACATACTCTGGAGTACCACAGAAAGTCCATGTCTTGCGTCCTTGCTGTGAGACAAAGCAGTCCATTACCAGACAGTACTCCACAAATTGTAGTTACAAAGCTCATGGTCGTACCTAACAGAGGATTTGATTGGCTCCTTTTTGAAGAGCTAACAGACCCTTACCTACCAAAGAAATTAATGTAATTTTATGGAACCTGAAGGATCATTACTGATCTCATGAACCAAAATGCCACTGAAGTTCACATATGCATTATTTCTTTATATAATTTAAAAAATTACCACTAAAGGATAAATAAGTGGGCCTGTAAGTGGAAGTGTCCAAGCTGTAACATTATGCAGACTGTAAATAATTTTACTCTGAGTATATTTCTGGATAACAGCTATCAAATTGATGACCACAGAGTTGCATTTAAGATGACAACGCTAATCAAAAAGGCTGCAATGGTAACATAGGACAAAACTAACCCTTTATGGTAATCCTGATATTTCTGACTGTATACTTCCCAGCACATCACAGTTCAATGTATTGAATTATGAATCACAAGGGAACTTTTTAATTTCTGCATGTTTTTTGTTAGTGTTCTTATAACTTTTGTCAGATACAATGCGAGGAAATTATGTTCTATTGGTGAACAGAAGTTTCTTCTCATTTGAATAACATTATTTCAAATTCTTGCATAAAAATGAATAAGTAGAAATTGTGCATGTTATGATTTTCTGGTTGTCAGTTTTGTGATCACACAATTTAGCCAAAACAGTTCATGTCATACATGTAATTGGGGGGAGGCATAAATTTGCGGTTATGTGTTATATTTCATTATTTACTGTTGCACACCGAAAAATGTGACAAGACCTAACGTCAATTTAACGGCATTTTGAATGAATCAAACAAACATATCAAATTTGTGTATCGTCAGATAACACCTTCCAGTATGACAACAATGACAACCATACTGTAAGATAGAAATTGACTTAATTATTTGCCCCCTCCAGCTGGCATGGAATTAAGAAGGTAAGACCGTAATCCTAATACTCACCACCAAGATAATGTTTAAACATCATACAGGACGAGCAAGTCAAAAGAAAACAGCATTACCAAAAGTGAATACTGAAATACAATTCATATGAAATTATATTTGGGGAAACAAACACTCTGTTTTGTAATGCAAAATGGATGTCAAAACATCTGCAGAAGACAGGTTTCACACACCTGCAACTTCTTTGCAAAACCAAAATCAACCAGTTTCACATATCCATTAACATCAAGCAGCAAGTTTTCAGGTTTCAGGTCTCTGTATATGATGTTGCGACTGTGTAGGTAGTCAAATGCTTCCACCACACATGCTGTGTAGAAGCGCGTGGTGGAGTCATCAAAGTGACCCTTATCCCTGAGGATGGTCCACAGTTCCCCTCCAAGGCACGACTCCATGAGCATGTATAGATATTTGCGATCCTTGAACGTCTTGAACAACTTGACAATGAACTCACAGTTTGCCTCGCCCATTATTTCCTTCTCAGACATGATATGCTGTTGCTGCCGCGTCTCCACAATCTGCAACACACAATGGAGAAGCACTTTTGTGTTTTGTGTATCACTTGGGATGGAAATTTCCAGACTGTGGAGATGTAGAGTTTTTTTCTTAGGGACAGCATCACTGTGTCCCAAAGGGTGTTTCAACATTAAAATCGTTGCTAAGTCATTCCTCACATATTTGTGAATGGGAGGATTATATTCAGATGAATCTTAATGAGCAAGACGAGGGTGTGGTCTGGTAGCAGAATAAGCAATTCCTTGAGGTTCATCACAGTTTCTACAAAAGCCACACCTTACACCTATCTTGAGCCAGTTCAATCTAATTCACATTTTTATGGTCTATTTCTCTAACATTACCTATGCTACCTATGCCCAGGTCTCCAAAGTGCAAGTTTTCCTACCAAAATGTAACATATATTATTTGTTTTCGTGTTTTCTACCTCATCTTATTGATTTGATAAGACGAACAAATGACAAGCAGAAGCTGCTTACAGCCACCAAAGTAATGAAGACAAGCTGAAAACATTCTGTTCTACTGACTTAAGTGGACAAATGTGCAGTTGCCCTGAGTACTCAGATCACTGCTGGGTCCACCCCAAATCTTGCTAGGACCCTTCAAAGGACGCTGATCATGATGCTAGAGCCATACCCCTAAGTGAGGCCCTTCTGATATCTGTCAGTTCTAACCATGCATCTCTGTTCCTTGGCTACCAAAAGCTGGGCACTGACAAAGCATATGGTAGCAGGATTCTTCCTCCTTCCCAAGAACTGAAGATAAACATGGTCAAATTAACATCCTGGGGTGGCTTGCTATAAATGTCAGAGTAACTACCTCAGCATTTCTGTAGAGGAATTGAACAGAACCACAGTCAGGATATCCACTGTTCCTGAACACAAATGGGTGCGAAACATTCAGATGTGGGGGCCATTATAACCTTCTCACTCCATACCTGGCTTTTTTTCATCTGCTTGAGAGCAAACGACCTTGTTGGATCTCCAGCGATCTGAACCAGCTCAACACGTCCAAAGCCTCCAACCCCTAGCGTTGCGAGGATTCGCAAGTCTGCAAGTTTCACATCCCGGAACTCCTCGTTGATTCTGCACAACAGAAACACGGCAAACCTCTGCATTAGCTGTGCCACTCTGTGCTGCCCGATATCACTAACTGCAGGGAGTAAGTGGTTTATTCAAATTTTCATTGAACAGTTGGATTCACATTATATTTTTATATGTCCAAATGAGAGAAATATATATTTTTACAATTATAAATAATTTCAACAAAACAGTTCCAACCACCATTAAGCAAATTAATGAAACATCATATCTGCAAATACAAGAACATACTTACTGTGTCTGCTATCCCTGGATGAAGCACAGAACAGAATAAAAAGTTTATTATTACTACATGCCTGCAGACAAGCACACATTACACACAGCACAACATACAACTCACCTCCTCCTCTCCACACCTTCATCCTTGTACCGCGTTCTGATCTCATCCAGGCTCGAGATAAGCTGGTTGAATGTCTCGCGGTCAATCACAAGACATGTCACGCCCTCATGCTCATCAGCAATGATGTTCGCTGTGCGCAGGTCATCACTGTTGGCAGTCCAGTAAAACAGAACACATTATCATTCTTCCCTGGGCCGCACCATAGCTCAAGCAGTTAGTCGCTGGCTTCCCACTGCGGCGGCCCGAGTTCGATCCCGGGTCTTGTCAAGTGGGATTTGTGGTGGACAAAGTGGCACTGGGGCAGGTTTTCTCAGAGTACTTCGGTCTCCCCTGCCAATCTTCATTCCACCAATTGCTCCACAATCACCCTCACCTATCATCTGGGGCTGGTACAATAAGCCAGAAGTGGCCGCAGTATAAGGGACTTAGTCCCACCCCACTAGCAACAAAAAAACATTCTTCTCTGGAAACTTTCCCAAGTAATTCCACCATCTCAAAGCAGTTTTATTGAACACCATACACACTTAAAATTTCCAGAGAAGGAAACCACTGCAACTCACCCCTGCAGAGCCTTCTCTCCAAAGAAGTCTCCCTTCTGAAGGGTCCGTATGTACTTCTCCTCCTCGGTGTTGGGTTGCTTTATTGTCACTTTCACCTGGAACATAAGCCAGGGTCTCAATATAACAAGTTCGATAACACTTCAGTGACACAACTTGTGTGGATGTTACACCACTCACCTGTCCTTTGCTGATGATGAAGAATGTATCTCCACGAGCACCCTGCCTAATGATGTAATCACCAGGTGCGTAGAATGTCTGCAAAAGGAAACAGACTTCTTTATGATGCCTGCAGAACATATAAGGAGAGACTGCGTTCCAGTCAGGTGTATGAGCTGATGTGACATGTCAGAATTATCTGGTAGACGAAATGTCGAGTTTGGTCCAGGTAGGATTACTCGGTGATATACAATGTGAGGTACAGTCCCAGTCAGGCTGACAGTGAGACATGATGCAGGGTTTCATCTCAATCAGGATTTTTTTTTTGTTTGAGGATTCTCCCCACATAATTTCAATGAACTCAATGCGGCAACTTGCTTACTTGGCTCCAGTGTGAGATGAAACATCAATTGCGAAACAGGAATGAATAAGGCATAAACTTCAACATTGAATGTTTAAGACAGGCATTTCAGAGTTTATGATGAGGGTTGGGTACCTGAGCTAGGCTCAGAAACGGCCTCTGGTTGGATGTCTCTACATATATTCCCTTTAGAGTTACCAACATTTAATAAAACTAAAATGATTTAATAAAGTTATTCATACTTGGTATGGTAAGACAGTTTGGTGAGGCCTGGGCTCTCACTGTGTGAGCTGTGCAGCTCAAGTTCTGTGGAATGGCTCATAATGTATTATGACTTACTGTGACTGATATGTCAGTCCTACTTTAAATGAGATAAACCACATGCTCACCTCTTCTAGCACATCTGATATTTTTGTCAAGGTTTCTTCTGGCAGGTTCTTGAAGATGGGGACACTGGAACACGAGAACACACACACCAACCAGTCAGTGACATGAGTCACAATGCTGCAAAGCCTTCGTTCCATGTCACTGGGTCACCAGTCATCAACTACTGTCATGACATGAGTAACTAGGTCTAAGTTATTACTCAATTTTTTCTTATAAATTATACATTTATTTTGTTCTCCATACCAGGAACAAGCCCAGTCTCTAACACATCACTAAGCTCTTCATATATACAGAGGTTCTTACCTTTGTTGACTGGTTCATAGCTCTGCGCCTCATGGCAACCAGTGCACCGTTGGCTGTGAGGTGCATACAAATTTTGCTGATGACTAAATAGGCCTGTTGGCCAATAACGTTTAGAATGAAGTAGTTCAAATTAATAGATCATAGGAGGTGTTCAAAGTGCTTTCCCTGTCAACTGTGGATATCACCTTCAATAACAGTGTTGATAAACCAACTGCAAAAATGAACCATGCCAGCTGGATCACGCAGCTTCAGGGCATGAATCACTGTTGCTTTATAGGGTCTAAACTTCAGCAATTGTGTTGCCTTTCTTGCACTAGACTTTGACACTCCAGTGTCCTGAGCTAGACGCTTCAGTCATTTTCTAGGTATATGTTCATGTGTGACTCCTACATCATCTAACTTTTCCTCAGTAAACACTTGGTGATTATGTTTTTGTTTCTTGTCTATTAAGAGTCCCGTTGATCAAAGTTTATTCCCTAGACTGTGAATTATCTGCCTGCTGGGAACTCTTTCATCATGAAATTTATGTTGAAATTTTCACCTGACACTTTCTAGCAGATCCATGTTTCATGTAGAAGTCATACACAAATACATGCTACTCTAAAGCGTACTGCACCATGACAGAACACACTGCTCACTAACTTTAACTGAGAACAAATGGCTAATGGAGATGATCACTGTTGCCCACTGCTGACAAATCACAAACAAATTCCCATGCATGAACGGCATTGCTCTCTGTGAAACATAATGCTGACAAGTGGTCCACAAAGTTAGTAACTTCCCTTAATTCCAAACTTTATAGGCCATCATGCATACTGATTTATAGGCAATATTTGTATACATCTCGCAGTCAGTAATGCACTGGTTGCCATGAACTGGTCAACAAAGGTAAGAAGCCTCTGTATTTTGAACAGCCACAGAAAAAGAAAAAAACTGCTTGACAGGCAATGAATAATTCTCAGCTTAAAGAAGACCCCTTCCTATGTTTAACATCATTTCATAAAGAAATATGGGAGGAACTGAGTGCAGATGGAGATGTCAGTATTAACCCGCAGGAAGAGCTTCCTGTGAGGGCCATACAAAAGTGGCGCATCACTAAACTCACCTCTTGAGGAAGTCTGTGTATTCTGCCTGACGAATGAGGCCAGTCCGCATCATGATGGTCTGAAAGCACTGGCGCTCGATTGCCCATAGTTTGCAGTCAGTGGCAGCTGCAACGAACAGAACAAACTGATACCAAGATAGGTTACCGCACTCCTTATGGTAGTAACTGATGGAACACACAGGTTGCAGCACTCATCCTGACATCAGCCAATGCATCACTTACCCTTAATAGTTGCAGTCCTCTTGCAATTGTACAGGATGGCAAGCTCGCCAAACACCTTGCCAGGTGCTAGTGTGCTGAGGTACTTGTTCTCCCGTGACACCTCCACACGACCCTCTGGAACAGCGAGGAGGACACATAACTATTGGATAAAAAGGCTCCCACATCTTCTAGACCAGTTGTGTCAAACATGTGGCCCCTCAACTTTTAGAACTAATTGATATTAAAATCAATATTAAAATTTTAGTAGAAATATTTTTTGTAAAGACAATTTTCCAACAGACCAGAAGACAAGAAGTCTCACGCAGACATAAATTAGCAGGCTGCAGGAAATTCAATATTTTGCCATTTCTAACATAATTTCTTGTGTAATCACCCTTTTTACATATTGAAAAGTTGCTTGATACTTGACAAAAATGGCATTCTCTTGCTTTTTAAAACTGTAAGATATGTAACTTTAGGTAATTATATTGAAATTATTCCTAAATAATAAATAGAATTAAATTTCCTTGTATCAAAATCTAATATATATTTCTATCTTGAAGTGTGGCCCTAGACTATTATTTATAGGGCTGAGGTGGCCCTTTGTATAAGTTGAGTTTGATATGCCTGCTATAGACAATAGTCTCACAGATGGCTGAGAGGCCATCAGACTTACACACCGGCAGCCCTTTACCCCCGGGAATATTCCTGGTACTAATTTTTGTTAGAGGCTGAGTTGACCCCAGGGCCACAGTGTGGCTGGAAGGTTTAGGTCAATTGAAAAATCCAATGGCCTCATCGGGGACTGGATCCCACAACCTTCCGACCTGTAACATAGTGCCTCAACCAACCAAGCTACTGCATGTCTCCAACTACTGGATGCTGTTGTGAAATTTACATGCCACATTTCTCGGATGGTATTTAAACTTACAATGTGGTGGGACTAGAGTCTATGTGGTCTATATGAATCGGAATTATGGTGACAAATAGTATTCCACCATTCAGTGTTGCAGTATGCTCTGGAATATTCCACAAGAAAGTACAAGACAATGACAGAGGTTGATGCTACAGGAGAATTACTGTATGGTAGATAATTAATAGCACAGATAGATAACAGGTTGTCAGGGTGGCAAACGGAAAGAACTAGCTCAGGATCGTGTCCAGTGGCTAGCTCTGGAATCAGCGGTGTTGAACCTTCAGGTCCTGCTACCAGTGAGTTAGTTAATTGCTAAAATGCATCCTGGGCTACAGGAGGAGGATGGAACTACCGGAGAGTTTGAGTAAAAGTCTGGGCTCTGTCACTTGCATCAGATCTATTTCACGCTGACAGACATGGTTTTTAAAAGCAATAAAGCTCGGATGTCGGGCTAGATTCTGCCCCTGTGTCTGGGCACCACGCCACTAAGCTGGGTGAACCCATAAATGTAAATTCTAAGAGGAAATTGAGCTTTTTGCATGGGAAATGTGCAGGGAAGCGAGAGGCATTTGTCGTTCAACGCAGCAGTTCGCGATGCGGGTCGGCGGGCAGCTTGAGGTCACGGGTCGTGTATAAAGGACGCTTCATACGCCTGCACGGGCCTGCAAAAACGGAGCACTGACTGGACAGAGCAGTTATGTCGCGCCTGAGATACGATAACACGCCTGTGAAGTGACATGGCTTTGGCCGAGATTCTAACCGGATGACTTTACTACCATATCCATACACGGGCACGACGTAGCCCCAGTAAAAGACTAAATGTTGAGTCTTTTACTGTTAAGGCAGTTGGTACACTTATTTACCACTTGCTTTAAAGGGCTAAATTAGGCTCCAACGCTTTCCCGTACTCACATATACAGTTAAGGTCTGCCCGGCTCTGATTTAAGCACCGCTTCATGGAATCACGCAGAGGGCGCGGCAGTATAACCCAACAGCGGTCATCTTCACCTTATCGTACCCTTTAAAACCGGACGGAAAGGGAATAACGGATGTGTTCCTGGGCGGAGGAGATGCGCATTTGTGTTAAGTGGCACAACTTACACAAGCTGACTTGAACCTTGAAGCTATGTCTGTACATGAACCAGAAATCAGTGCTCGTGACGCAAAGAACAACAGACGATAGTGTGGCGTGTAAATTTTCAATGGAGCTATCGCCTGTTTCATTCATACCCTTCTTGCGGCCTGTGATTCTGGGGGACAAGTCTGCGTGGCTGGTAGGCAGAAGAGGTGGGTTTCGCTGGGCCGATGCAGACCAGCAAACGTTTGCCACACCAATACGCCACGACAGGCATATATAACGCACATTATGCGTTCACTTCACTCGGTCTGTTGTCTTGAGTTGAAAAAGGTGACAGACAGAACTGAGTAGCCTAATATCAGAAGGTGCAACAGCACGATGTATATGTGCATTCCCCGCTACTAGAAAGCAGCGCAAAATATTGACATGAACACAGCTAACAGATCCTTTGAAAACTTTGCAAAGTTCAGATATCTGGGGATGAAAGTAACAAGACAATGTTGCATTCACGAAGCATCTAAGAACAGATTAATTTCGGGTAATGTTTGTTACCATAACTAACTAACTCCATGAAGGTGAGCCCTTCTTGAGGAGCGGTCAGTGGTCCAGCCACTCACGAATTTCCCCCACATTTTATGAAACTAGAAGGTTCATTACCGTGTTCACAAGAGCCCTATCCCGAGCCAGATCAATCCTGTCCGCATCGCCGCATTCTAAGAGTCGTTTAAGTACTACCATTCAGTTCAGAATCTACTGTCTTCCCGTCTGATACACATCATAATATACAAAACTGTAATACAGTCCCCTGCTTGTGCTAGCGTCTCTGACATACATTGAATGTGTCTCAGAACGTCATTACGGAATGAAATCGACACCCAGGAGCGAGACTGGCCCGCATCACAGCCGTTGCCTGACTTTCACTGTTACAACATGCGGGCAGTGGAGCGTGTAGGCGCAGTCACGAACTGGAACAGTTCGGCTCTACAGTCGTTAGTCCATAGAGAAAACAAACAAAAACTGAAAACAAACTCCGTGGTTTTAGTTCGCAAGCGAACTATACCGACCGAGCGAACGAGCGCCCGCCGCTTGTCGGCCAACTTAGTGTCAATTTTAGCGGATAAAGTGTGTCAGGTGGTCAGCGCAACGAATCCCCATGGCCGTTAATTTTGGTTTTCTAGACCGGAGCCGCTACTTCCTTGAAATAGCTCTTCAATTATCATCACGAGGCTGAGTGGACCCCGTTCCAGATCCACTACGTGTCAGAAAATCTGATAGCGCCGGGAATCGAACCCGGACCTCTGGCTCTGTAGCCAGGAACTCTGACAATTAGACCACAGAAGCAGCTGAGGAAAACTGAGATTCGCACGAGGCATTCCCTTTCCGAACGACAACCTGGGCCCATCATGCGGATTCTCATTCCCCAAGGTCAGCCTTCCGCGCGCTCAGGGAACACGAAAACAGAGCTTTAAAAAAACAGGATGGCTGCAGCGCGCACTTTCTCTTCACGCTGCTGGCTGCAGGGACTCGTCAGCAGTCACGAAGCCGAATTCCTCAACAAGAGCACAGTCGCGGAACTCTTCGAGCCTGAGCGTGCTTATTTAAGCACCACTCCACACAGACGCACTCCTATCCTCAGCAGAAGATTGAGGTGAGCGGTCGGCTTCTGGCTCCGGGCGCTTTACGCGCGATACTCATTCTAGAGAATACCGGACTGACCCCAGAGCTGGTCTGAAGGCGGGGGGGGGGGGCAGATCTCTGCCCTTGCCGGAAGCCGACCCCGGATATTCCCTGGTCGTGCAGACCGTAGTCTAGTCACTATACTGACTGAGCTAACGTAGCTCCTATTTTCGCTTGTATTTCATGAAATGTTCACCGCACCGATGGATGTTATGATACCTATGAATGCTGCCGGTCTTAATGGGCTGCACATGTTACGTTACGTACAAACAACTGGGCACAGCACGGTCTGAGCCTCATGTCATGCGGTCTTCCGGGACGTGACGCCGTGCAGTCTGGGAGTTACGTTTCGAAGTAACTTGTTACTTCCACTTCAACTGCGACGAAGATGAGGCCACTATCCTCCTCTACTGTTATGTAATTTTTTTACTTTCGTATACGAAATTGCAAATGGTGAGTTACTGGTCGCTGAATCAACTACTGGCGATTGCGAAGCTCGCTCAGTGTGCCTTTCACTTCCGTCGTGACATTTGAAAGGCGCAGGCAGCAGCGAAAAGCGAAAGGCACATTGCTGGGTCGCTCCATTACAGGGTGCTCACAAACACATATCTGTATGCTTGAGCTCCGTGAACGCCTGACGGAACCAGATCAAATGTAGTAGACCTACTGGCTACATTAGCATGGTCATTTGGGTTGTAACGCCATGTAGATCGGAGAGAGTCCGACGTTTCTTGCTTGGCTTGCTCTTCAACCCTGAAGATGGGGGCGCTATTGCCACGACAGGTAGGAATTCTCTCCTTGATACGAACTACAGAGTGTTAAAGCCCAGATCACATCGTCCACAGCCACCGATGTGAGGACCTGAGATCCTACACAACTTGTGGCTTTTTGAACGCTAGTGGTCGCTCAGCCAGTCACGGCATCTCCTACCGTTTACACACAAGTCAGCCACTGGATCCAATCCTGAGCCAGATGGCTCCAGTCCACATCTGAACATCCTACTTATTAATATCATGTTCCCATGAACACTAGGTCTCACTTCCGGTTTCTCCACCATCATCTCACGTTCTCTTCCTCAGGTCCAGCATCCTGTCCCAAGACACCCTCAATTTCTGTTTACTCCTCAGGGCGCGAGACCAACCATACAAAGGAACAGGAATCTTTACAATGCTGTTTACAGCCGCGGAAAGCCAGGGTGCTGGCTGTTGGACAAGGAACGTTCCAGGAACTTCCGAGGATCCATCCCGTTGTTATCCAGAAATAAGGATCATCTCGGAAAACTGATGAGGAGCGGGGCCCGACATGTGCGGATCTCACGGGCGGGGAGGCTGGGAACGCCCACAAATGAGATGGAGTCCACAGTTTTGTAAGAAACCGGAAGAGACAAAAACTCTAAGCCTGGGGCCATACGAGCGCACAAAATGCGTCCGCTGTAACGAACGTCGTGACGTCCATTGTAGAAAT